CCTCGCCGGCTCACTCGCTACCCCACACCGCATTGCCTGTAATTATTCCAACAGACGCGAATTTTAGACTTTCTTCTCCTGTGTCTAACGTGAACATGAACAGTGAAGAAGTTTCTAACATTGCAGTTTCGCGGCGTGAGCGGACTTTGCCTCAGATTAGTCTGATCATTAACGACCATGCTGACCATCACAACGAGGGACCGATTGACCAGGTGTAAAAGACTCTTGCAAATACTTTGGTCATGCTGTTACAAAAAAATTGTCCCCGAGAGAGAACCTGCTTGGCTGGTTAGTGACCACGCAGACCTTCTAAACTAGTCTTACTGGAGAGAGAAATACATGAAGGCAAACGAACCACCTTGGCGGTCCCCATTTTGACCGGAAGACCACTCGTAGTCTCTTCTTTGTTCCAGAGATATTAGCGCGAGTGAAACACGCGAGCTCGCGAGAAATTTCCACCTGCGAGTGGGCACTGCGAGCGTCTCTCGTTCGCCACGAAACTTTTTCAAACTGTTACTGGAAAACTATCATGATACTACTTTTTAAGTGGTAATTCGGAGAAGGAATAAGGCTGCGAAATATTTCGGGAGAAACGCGATGAAATTAAATATCTTCGGGTTTCTTGAAGATATAGCCAGAAATGTGAAACAAAATTCACTTTCTGGTGAATCGATGAAAAGGGACTGGAAAAGGACAACCTAAACATAGACTACGAGTAGTCCCCCATTTTCCCTCAGGGATAGTAAAGCCAGCGAAACGCGGCGGCGTGTTGCCTCTTCTCGCGTGGGGTGATTTTCACGCGCGCTCGCGTTTCGCTCGCTCTAAAATGGGGGACTACTCGTAGTCTAACCGAAACATTGTGCTGGCAATGGAACTGGCCGCTCTTTTCGAAGTGGCAAGGTTAGTTTAGTCTTGGAAAAAGGACTTGTTCAGTGCGGTCGTTATGCGAGCCGCTTGAGAGGGAAAATTTTCTTGTAACTGCGCTTACATTTTTAACGCCGGTCTTGAAAACATCTCGCTAGTAAATAAATATGTGTTATGTATTTAGATTTTAGCTAGGAATATTTATTTGAAGATTCTTGCATTGATGCTGATACTAACAAAAAAATACTTTTATTCGCTTTATTAAAAAATTATAACAAAAGAACTGTAATAAATATATAGAAGAACTGGAGAAACATTTCTGTCTTTACTATTACTCACTATCACCGGGAGCAGATAATCGGATCATGATAAAACTCAGGAAGAAATGACTTAAATTCCAATTCAATCACGTAAACAAATAAACAGCACGTAAAACGATATACGATATCATTTACAAATATCCTGCGAACAGAGGTTTTTCCCTTGCATGGCTTTTAGCGTTTACGAAGTCGTTCGCGTCGCTTCTCAGTTGCGTAATTCAGAACAAACTACGCGACAGACAAAAGACGCGAACGACCTCGTAAACGTTAAAAGCCATGCAAGAGAGAAGCCTCTGTTCACAGGGTAGTTATAAAAGTTGGTAGAGGAGTTAAATAAACTTTCTCACGTAACTCGTTGGAAATCATAATAACGCTTTACTAAAAATAATGGTCGTCGGTTTTTGTATCACAAAAGAGATGAGGTTAAAAATTGCCGGCTTTGTTCACTTCCATGCTCTTTTAAAAACATGTGGATAGTTATGAAAAAAAACTTTTCCTACAGCTGTAAGTAAAAAGCAAGACGTGCGCTCATTAACATTCAGTATAAATTTGTAAAGGACAAGCTGTCATTTATCGGCTTGTTCGATCCTGACATCCGGTTGTGCTTAAAGAACTCCTTCGAAAACCTTTTTAGGTTGTCAAGGATCCGGATCGAGGCTGACGCAAATGTCTTATGAAGGCGTTAGAAATTAAAAAGCACGTGCGAAGGAAGGACTCAGTTTCGATTTAAAAGGAAAATTGTTTCTTACATTGAGGGGCATGATTTTTTTGTATGTCTACAAAACGGAATTTATAACGAAAGACAAAGAATTTGTTTTTCGTTTTAAATGTACCACAAGCAGAGAAAGGAAGTATAAGAAACCGAAGAACATACATAATTCACGCATTAACCCGAAAACTGATAAACGAGCTTCAAATTGGCCGGGAAAAAGGTCAAGTTCACGTTCATTTTTAAAGGATTAATTAATATTATTAAATAGCACACGTACGCATGACACATCAAAATTCCTACTTAGGTCCGAGGTTTCTAATCATGTTTCCTTATTTGGTTTCGTCAGTTTCCTTTTTTCTCAAGTCCGCTCTTCTGGAAATTTCGAGACAAGGGAATCATAAGCAATTTGCAATTCTGTCCGTAATAGACTTGGAGTCAAGATAGAATTTTGATATATCGAACGCGGGCAAACAGCCCATGATCTGACATTTCAGCACGATATTTTTGTGGTTTGGAGCACGCGCTCAGTTCTGTTGGTGTCTTAAACTGCTTAAGCGGAAAAATGAAATTCCTGTTCGGTTTGAACGTCACTTTCTTGTTCCCTTTCGAATAATTAAAGACAAAAGATAATCAGTTTTCTAAAATGTTTTGTTGAGGATATGGGTGGGAAACGCTTTTTACTTCCCTCATTAGTCATATCGAAGTTCAGAACACCCGGGACTCGCATGTGCATAGCACCTACCCTGGGGCCATTAAGACTATATTTTTAATACATGCAAAAAGTAGGGAGCTTTAACAATGACTATTTCGGCAGCGTCACTACTGAAATGACTTCGCTTTTTACAAACTTTTTCCCTATTATCCCAGCTCGCTCAAAATGTCAAATCAGGTGGATTTGCGGACAGCTGAATTGTCGCGGACCGCACCCAAGCTTTGAAGGAGAAAGAAAAATTCGTCGTTTTATTCATAACGTGATCCATAAAAAAGTTCCATGAGGGTCACCGTCGTCGTAGTTTCGAGTAGTCGTGCAGTGCCGGCAAAGAAATGTACCAAAAAGTGTGATGCACGTGCAGAGTTGTTGTTTTGCTTAACTTTTTGACGTTTTCAGTTGCTGTCATTGGTAAAGATCGTTGTTTCAAGGCAACAATTCATCGTGGTAGAACTCTTTATCAGTTTATTTTAGAGGTAAGCAGTAACATCCGTCGTTACTGTAGGTTTAATTCAGCTGCTTCCAAGCTGTAACGATTCTAGTTGTTGTTCATCAAATGCAACACGACGGAAAAACGTGATCAACTTTCATCTGTCTTATCCAAAAATTGCCGCGAGTGATTAAACTCTTTCCTCACGTTAATTTTACCGAAATGGACAGGTGTAACCGGCAATCTATCATAAAACTTGTTGTTGATCAGAGAAGATGTCTTAGGCCTCGTTCACACGTATCTGGATACAGTCAAATTAGAGACCTTAGGATTTACCGTTTCCGCCGACACGTAGCCCTATTAAAATACGGGTAACCGACGACTTCGTTAATTTATAATTATATAGAGGTTCGATAAATGGCAAATAGACGTTCCGCTGTAAAATAGGAACTTTACTTGCGTAAACGATGGAGGTTTTCGACATCGTTATATCGAGGATCGCTATATCGCGGTTCCACTGTACGATGATGTACTGTTAGGCACGCAGTAGTATCGCCATCGTTTTAGCGTTTTCGTGAGTGGACGGGCGAAAACGATTAGAATACATTACGTATGGACGCGTATTTTTTCAGAAATCGGAGAGAAAAGGCCCCAGTAATGGTGATAATACATGGAAAGAAACTCAAAATAGCAAACGATTCGTTGGCCCTTCACTATATCGAGGTTACACTTAAAAGTTTGACCTAAATTTCTCTTGTGGGTTACTTTGGAGAGAACAAACTTGGTCAGTTAACGGTTCCAGCTTTTGTCAAATTTGAGAAAAGTCTAGAGTACATGCCTGCACGACACAAATTGAAATATCTGTTTATAGGGTACTTATATTAAGTAAAACAAAAGCAACAGTTACAAAGTTATCTATTAAATATTTCCTCGAACTCAAGTTTAATAAAAGTGCGAACTTTAAGCCAGTGATATTCTACCTTTGTGAGCGTATCAATTAATATCTGTTATTTTCCTCCTTGTACGAGTTTAACTTTGCATTACATGCAGTCAAACGCCGTTAATACAGACACTGAGGGGGGCATACTAAGTGTCTGTATTAAGCGGGTTCAATTTAGAGAAAATGTAAAGGCTTTCTTTCCCCTTGGACAAAGCAAACTGCCCGTAATAATTAGGGCCATTAAAACAAGGAAAAATAGACGCGTCTTACATAGGACGCGTCTTAAATAAGACGCGAACTTTCCGTATAAACGGCACATTTCGTCTAAAATAAGGGGCGACTTAGCTAAGACGCATCTTATTTTAGAATAGCCCTTAACACCTGTTCTTAGATAGCTAAGACGAGAAAAACTTCGTATAAATGACCTTCGCGTCTTACATAAGACGCGAACGCATAGTACGCATACGTTAATTTTTTGCGCGCCACGTTGGATTGCCGTTGCTACAGGCAACATTCACATGAAAACGAGTCAAGAACAGAAATAAGACGCGAACCATTTATACGAGCTGTTCTCGTCTTAGATAAGACATACTCGTATAAATGGTACAGTTAAATAAGACGCGTCTTATTTTTCCTCGTATAAATGGCCCTAATGAGGTGTCTGTATTAAGCGGGTGTCCGTAAAGTGGGCATTACATCGCGTTTGATCGAAAGATAACTCCAGTGTAGGCTGGATGAGCAGTCAAACCTATATATAATATATCTTGCTCGGAAAAAAGGCTTTGTCAACTCTGTTAACGACAGATTATTTGAAGTTGTGGGTTTTCTCAGTATTCAGGACAGGTAGCTATTGCTATTATCATGTGCGAACAGGTATGAAAAAATAACACTCGGCACACAAAACAGAGAAGAGGAGTCCGACAGAGGCAGAAGGGAAATAGGGGTGGCTGAATAAGATCAGTGGCCCATGTACCTGCGAATTAACTTCTTTCAGATATTTTTCCAAAACAAAACACAGTGTTTTTCCTGGTTCTACCAATATTTTATTTTTTTTCTTGGTCCTTTGATAAAAGTAGTTCCGGCAAAGAGGTTCATCCTCCCAGCCGAGTCAACTTTAACGAGGATTTATATAAGAAAAACTTTGTCCCCTTTGCCCGTTCCAAAAGCTGACAACAGCTCAAATTCCAAGGCCAAAGAAGCCACACAGACAGGAAAAGCCATACTCTACTTTCCTGTCAAAAGTCCATGGTGCTTTGAAGAGTGGTTGAAACAACACATCTTTTCAAAGAGGACAGACGGCAAATTGTTGTTGCTCGAAATATCTAAAAGTCGTAACTGTTCGTCAGCCCTTCCTTGTCGCAACAAGCAATACTCCTTCCACCTCACGGGAACCTAAGGCTCCATTTATATGAAGAAAACTTGCCCCGTGTAGAAGGATCACCCTCCCAGCCGAGTAAACCTTCGTGAGCATTTATATGAGACAAAAGTTGACACCTTTGCCCGAACCAACAGAGCTCGCGCATGCGCTGATCGTCTAAAACAGCACAGGCGCATGCTCTGATTGTCTCGCTTTGACGAAGTTGACACAGCCGGGCGAGCCAAAAGGTTAAAACTAAATGGAGAATAACGAAAATCTCATGGTTGGCAATGGTTCAAAGGCTCAAAAGTAGCCAATTTTAAAAAAAAAAAATGCTTGAATAAATTAAACTGATGACCAATAACTTAATCTCTTGTTTCCCTAAATGGTCGGATTCCTTTTGGGCCAGCAATGTCTGCCCAGACACTATTGTAAAGTGGGAGTGTTGGGGCAACTTTGCTCGCAAGACCTGGTAAAACTTCTGCCATTTAATACAAGCCCTGTCTTTCAGCGTCCATGAGTATACTTGTATTCTGCTAGGGACTATGCCTTGAACACTGTGCCTTGTTTTTGTCATAAAAATCCTTGACGGCGGATAAAGTAAGTTGGTCTTTTTTATTTTTCACATCATTCCAGCTCTTTTCATTTTTCTCTCCATTTTCTTTTGTTTCTTTGGATCCACCACCGTTTCATCAGGTTGTGCAAATATCCAAGGGGCCAGGATGTAGACCCATAACAAGTACATAGCTCTGCAAGGTGCCTAAAAGAATAAAAATTAAAAGGACCGTGTCACGGCTGCTTGGTTCATTGGGTTAATAGGGAGTTTGATACCACGACGGCGACGGCGACGCCAACGAGAACGTGAAAAAAGCAAGTGGATTGGATTGGCAATACAACAACTCTACACGTGCATTACGCTCTTTTGTAAATTTCGTTGCCGTCAATGCGCGACTACGACGTGAAAATGCCAAATTTCACCTGTAATGGGGGTGAAATTATGGGATTTGTTGGGATATTTTGAAAGAACAACATCTGAAAGGCCTACCTGCCAGAAACTAGCATTGTGGGGCAAATTGTCTCGGAGATACTAGTCCCGTTTTGCTCTGATGACTCGGTACAAATCCTTCTAAATTTGACTCGGTTGTTAATGTTATGAACTGAGTCAAATGTAGAGGGATTTGTATGGAGTCATCAGAGCTTAACTGGGCTAATATCTCAAAGACAATTTGCCCTGGAATGCTAATTTTTGGCAAGTAGGCCTTTTGGAAGTTAATCCTTCGTAATACCATGAAAAATCCCATAATTTCACAAATTTAATTTTTATGACGTCACACTTTAGGACCCTATTATAAGAACCTGCTCAGAGGTACCAAAAAGACTTACTTACCAGAAGCATAATAAGCCACATATAGTCTGTGAATATTGCAAGTCCTTGAGTTATTGCTGTTAGAATTATTAGGTCCTTAACATGTCTGCAAACAATTTCAAGAAACTCTCCATCAAGGACAAATTAATGTAGCTTAGTTTACTACAAAACTTTTCCATGCATTTTAGTTAACTGGTTTTAGAGTGATGCAAACGATTGCACCACTCTTTGTGGAGGTCAATATTACTGATTCTAACTCTTCCATTAAAATTCAGTTAGCAATAATATTAAATCCCAACTGTCCCTTCAAAGAAGCATCTGCCTTATGGAGAATTAAAGTGTAATAAAATGAGTGCAGCATCCGTTCAAAGTAATCTCATAAGGAGTATCTGTAAACTATCAGAGAGAGTATTAATAGATGGAATCCGTCAGGAAACTGAGTAATTTTATTTTTCAGTGGACAAAAACCTTGCACCAGAATAATTTAACCCATTCGCCCCTGAACCGCCCGTAACCGCCCGTGCGGATCCAGGTCCTTTCTACCCTTTGTGACGTCATCAGTTTTAACGGTCAAGGACAACTTTCTTTGCTAACTTGTGCAGAGTGAAGAGATCTTTCAAACCATACCAGAATGAGCACAATTCAGTCAAGGACACCGGAGAAAGAAGGAAAAAACCACGTGACAAGCACCTGAAAATCTCCATGAAAATCTTGTTCCATTACCCACCTACCTTTCCTTTCACCTAATCCTAAGATCCTAAAAGCTTTCCTAAAAACTCTTCCCACCAAAATGAAGCCTACTAAATGCCCAGCAAGAGGAAAAAAAAATGAGGCAAGAAAAGCGAAAAAAGAAGGGAGGAGAGAAAGCGAAAAGTAAAAGTCAAGACTGCTGTGTCACTTTTAAACCCAAAAACTATGTCGAAATTTTGCTTTCTGCGCATGCCCGAACTTCGCAAGCTGATATTTTGCATCTGGATCAGAAGGCCGCCAAGTGTACAACCTGTAATCCGGTTTGTGGTAAGTTTCAGCTCTTTATAGCACAACAGTGACCAGAAAACCTCTCGACTAGCTTCAAAACGCGTTTTTGGGCAAAATCTCCAGGAGCGAATGGGTTAAAGCACATTGCACTCTATTTTACAGTCTTCAAGGGCTATAGACGCAACAATCAGTTATATAAAATAACACCAAAGAGAATTCTTATGGGAGCCCGAGAAAACAACTTTCAAAAGCTTTAAATTTTACAAAATGAAATCTTACCCATGAAATTTCACAATTCCTGTGAAACTTGAAATTTATTTTCTCATGCTCCTATGAGAAATAATTGTCTTTGGTGTTTTTGCAGAAAACTATTCATATCTACAGCCCTTAAAAAGTGTAAAAAAGAATGCGATATGGGTTGAATTATTCTGGTACAAGGTTTTTGTCCACTGAAAATTAAAATATATTACTCAGTTTCCAGATGGATTCCATCTGGTGCCAGGGTGCAGAAGTATTAGTATTAAAATAATGCAGAATTTTCAACAGTTCGCAATATTTGGTAAAAGAAAAAAGTCGGACTATTACATGGCAGATTATGCAATTTCTTTTGCATCTACTTCCCACAGGAAGCTTATTGTTGTTATATTTTAAACAACACTAAAAAATTTGTAAGGGTCTCCTCAATGTTTCCAATGCAAAATAACTAAACCTTAAATTAATCTTGGTATTTAAATTTTACGATTTTGTCTGCATGATGTATTTCTAAATAACTAATGTAGAGATTTCTTATAGATTATGCAATTTCTTGTGGATGTGATATCCAGAAGCCCTGTAAAATTCTTTTTACCAAATACTCTGCAGCACTGGAAGGGAGGGGGGGGGGTGCGCTGGATTTCAAGTAACAGGGATAATCAACAGATTTTTTTGGGGTCTGAAATTTTTGATTCTGGGATTTTTTTGGGTAGGAAAATTTGGCAAGTATTTTTTGGGGTGGCTTGATAAATAGAGATTTTTTTGGCTATTCAGAACAATCTGAAGATTCGTGATAGTGCCTGCATATCTCGGCCGTACAACCAAACTTGCTTTCCTTTCCGGAGATTTTTAAGGCTCAGAAAATTGGCATGGGATTTTTTTGGGTTATTTAAGGTCCAGGGAGTTTTTTGGGTTTTGTTGGAAGCCCTAGGGACTTTTTTGGGTTTAGATATTTGGCCCCATTTGATCATCCCTGTCACTTGAAATCTGGAGAATCCCCCACCACCCTCCCCTGAGCTCTGCAGTCCTCTCTGCAGTCATGTAATAATGTAAATTAATGATGAGATTTCTTGTCGATTATGCAATTTCTTCTGGATGTAATTTTGTAGAAGCCCTATAAAAGTCTTTTAGCACATACTCTGCAGTCCCTGATTCTGTATTCAGGTCCATGCCTCCATCTATAAGAGCTCCAGATTCAGAATAGGTTGGTTTTGCCATTGACTCCATAAACTTGTAACAGCCAAAGTAAAGAGCAGTGACCATACATAATAGAACCTGGAAAAAACAGTCACTTAGCATCTTTCAAGATCATCGTGATGAATAACTAAAGTAGTAAAACTGCATCCCCTCAAATGACAGCCCATATTTTCTCAAGTTTATTCCAAATGAAACGGTGCAGAATTTCTGTTTTCCCTATGTAAACACTGTAAACATTATTGCCCCAGGACATACTATAAGGACTAGGAAATAGTTTAGTATGTTCACTCAGCCAGACTTTGCAGAGACACCAGAAGGCCACCACAAATGCTTACGCTGCTAGGGGTATAAAAGGGTAAATTTGCGACTTTGCAAGACTGTCAGCCCCAGGTTCTAAAATTTGAGACCAAGACTTAAGCTCTTTCATCAAATCCCAGCCATGATTCTAACTGCCAGAAGTTTTGAGACAATGGTGCAAATAAAGCTCATAAAATGACTGAAAATGCCAATAGAAGCTAGCGAAAGCCCACCAATATACTACTTTTTGTTTTACTGTCTTATTCTTGTACTAGCTCAGTTCGATAAGCTGTACCCATGAACCTTAAAAAAATCAACTCCTGAAGGCCAAATGGTGAGAAACAACAACAAATCCGAGACTCAGAGACCCGTCGACGAAAAAAAAAAAATTTCGAGATTCAGCCAAATTTTCTGAGACCCACATTTTTCGAGGTACTATTCTATGTGCCTAATGCTGTGGGCCTATTTTAGTCTCCTCCACCGCAGAACCTATAAGAAAGTATCGTCTATAACTCTATTTGAAAGGAAGTATGATTTCATGATAAATAAAGGGTGAAACAGATATCACAAAAAAAAAAAAAACTTAACTGGCAACTGCAAGATATAGACTTACCCATGAGAACCAACTGGAGTTGAAATTAAAAAATGTAAATCTGAAGATGATATATGTCACCTATAATGTAAAAATAACAAAGCATCAGCTGTAGTAGCATCAAAATGGGAACCTCAGGAAACTAACACAACCATGGCAACAGGAACATCAAAAAAGCAATAGGTTTAAATTATAAGCAAAACAACAACTTGACTGCACGTGCATCAAGCATTTTTGTAAATCTCCTGCTGTCTCTGCACAACTCATTGTGAAATGACCAAATTTTAAGTTCATTTAAGGATGGCAAGGCAATAAATTTTACTATCTCTATCTAAACTTGGATGTGGTCCCCTACCCTCATTTCCAACCTAATTTCCCTTCTTTTAAGTAACTGGGAGACTCGCAAAAGAGTTTGAAAGGATGCAAAGTCTATTTTTCTGTAACATTTTCAATGATGTCACCATTGTCAGATTGTAAGGTCTCTTATTAGAAGGAGACAGATCATTTTTATATTAATGGGAAGATTTTGATATTTTTAACTCCCAAGATGCCTTGCTCACCTCAACACTTATCATAACCTTGGCATAGAAATCCAATGTTGAATTATTTTCTTCCAGGATTTGTTTCTGTCCCTTCGTGGCTTGTTTTTTGGGCTGAAAGACATGAAATTAGTTTATTAAGATTTAGCGTTTAATAAAGACTAAGAAAACTAATTCGGTGGGCTAAGACACAATAGGAAACTGGTACGGTCATCTAGAGTTTCTTCTAAATCCACTTTGTTGACATTTAGCAATTACTTGGACAAACAAAAACAGTTCACAGTATAACAGCCTAGGATTCAAACATATGTACCCTATACTAATAAAGGGCCAGTGATTTAATCGCGACCATTTTTTCTTTAAAAAATCTGTGCGGCAATTTATAGATGGGTTGAGGGACTTTTTATGTATGGCTCATACTTACGTTGTTTTAGACTATATTAATAATATTTGTTCAGAAGATTGAGCAGTTACTTCCTAAATCTTCATCCCAACCAGATTTTTCCCTTAAATGGTAAGCAACATTTATCTTTTTTCCCATCCCCTGTTTTATTTTTAAGTAGTGGTAGAGACCTGCCAACGCTCATGATTCTGCCATGAGTCTCAAGATTTTTAAACTTTTCTCATGGCCTACAGACAAGCCTCCCAATTTCACGGTTTTGGGAGAAATATCTCTGAGAAATGAAAAGTTACTCTGCTGAATAAAAAGGGAAATTTAATGAAGAATGCCAGTGCCTGTTTAAGCCTTGATGGCACTTTGTCTAACATTTTCGCCATGAAGTTGCTTGTCCAGAATCAAACACGCGACCTCTTGCAGTAAGTTTCATCCCAGTTATGCCCTTATCCCTCACCTCTTATAGTCTCCAAAGAAACTGGCATCTTGTTACCAGAGGGACCACAAATAAAGCAAGGTAATATTCAAATACACAGTTAATTCACTGACCAATGGAAAAAAGGTTCATGAGTCATGTTATGAGTCTCTGGATTTTCCAGTGCTGTCAACTCTCCCGGATGATCTGGGAGACTCCAGATTTGGGACCGTATCTCCCAGTCTCCAGATTAGAGTCTGATATCTCCCGGATAATCGCCAAAATTGTTATTTCTTTAGACTTGACTTTCTGACCATAAAATTTCAAATAATTTGCATTGTTTGCGCTACTGTTAACATGGAACGTTTCCCCATAAATTCTGGTATGCCACTGTAATTTAAGCAATAATGTTGCTAAATATGAATTGTTTTTGTGCTATATACGTCGATCGGAATCAACGGACATTTTTGGCACAAATGAAGTCTTTTGTCGTGCGATATGACGTCATCTATCATTCCTTTCCTATCATCCTGATTTTCCTATATCAGGGGTTGGCAGGTCTGGTGATATTGTACGTGAGGAAAATTAGATGTTACTCCAGTAATGAGGCTTAAACTAATAAAGGGTTCATTTAGCTCTGAAAGAGGCACTAGCCGGTGGGAATAAATTAATGTTGTTCACTCTGTCCAAGGTCAACATTTTGCATCGGATCGGGAAAAAGTAATAAAATAAAATAACATTATGAGTAAACTTAATCAAAGATCTGCCTACTATGCATGGTCTGTGTACTGCCTCTATATACTTCAGCAGATATAATCACAAAGTGATAAATAACTTGATTTTCTTACTGCCACATCATGCTAGCGTGCGATTGAAATGGATGGGTTCATGTACCATATGAAAACTCGAGGTAATTAGAAGCAGTTAAAACGTCGATTGAAACAAAAGTTAAGTTATAATTTGACTCAAGTTGGTCTTGACTTTCTCTCTAAACAGAAAAATGCTTAACGTCAAAAATACCGCGTATCATGCTAAACTTACCGCCATCTTGAAAGATGCTAGTGCCAGTCCTTTAGCAGACGGATTTCACAAACAAGGGTAGAGGTCGGGTAGAGGGTAGAGGGCATGGGTGGGGCCCTGCTAGCGGACGACAGGAAAATGAGGCTGGTGGGGTTAGAGAGACAGATTCACTCCTTTCTATTTTCCTTTCCTTTCCCCGTGAAGGGTATCCGGCCACCTCGCCACCAAGAAATATATACTTTAACACTTATCGAAAGGTCAAGTTCTTTCACTTAAAATTTACAATGAAACTTAAGGTAACTGAGGTTCAAGTGACGATACTAACCCACTATCATAAGATAGGCTGTTGGATTTTAAACAAATAGCACCTCGCACTCGGGCGATGCAAATAAGCCGTATTGCTCGCAGGGTAGGATCACCCAAGACGGCTTTGAAAATCGAAATCTGAAATCAAGAGTAGTCTTTAGAGAGCTTTCCCTCCTTTTCCTCAGGGGCAATGGAAAGCCTGAAACAAGAATACTTAGTATTAACGCCACTGACTCTCTTCCGTAGTAAACTTGTAAGGAGGGGGCGAAGTTATGTGATGTTACGTAGGACCTCTTGCCCGCCAGGGTGGATGGAGGAGGCGGGGAAGAAGGAGGGAAGGAAGGAGGAGGGAGGGAGCCAAGGATTTTCCCCCGCCTCGCTCTTCCTCTTACGCTGGCTACTGCCTGGTTTACCTCGGGACTTAAGTGTTACTGACAAACCTATACCTCGTATTAATGATATCAGGCTGTATTACCAGCCGCTGTACGGCAAATGAACCAGAGAGCGGCGTAACTAGAGCCTCAGGTCGACTTGGTGCAAGTAAATCTCTCTCGCCTTGACGTTTTAAGGTGGTCGCCAGGAGCCCGTAGCCTGGGACCAGGTTCCGAAGTGGGGGAAAAAGGGCAAAAAGGCAAAAAACGGGGTCAAATAGGAAAAATATCGGCGAGCGAAGAAGTCGTCTCTCCGCTCGCTTCGCTGGCCGATTTTTTTCCCCTTTTTCCCCCAATGCGGAGCCTGGTCCCAGGCCAGAAGCCCGTAAAGAAAATGTGGTCGCACATGGAAGTTCGTCTGTAATATGAAGGAAAACTGTTTTCAACGTTTTATTAACTTCACGTTCTTTATACTTTACGACATTCTACGAAGTTTTTATTCAGTGTGCTTGTAGGATAAAATAGTTACTCAGTGCAAAATGCATTTGTCCTTGAAAAACTGTTGGTTAATGAAGTTTGCATGTCCATGAGAGGCGAAGATGCTGGGATGATATGATCCCAGGCTACTAACCACCATTTTAAAATAAGTTACCTGATCCTTTTTGAGACTCAAATATAATAAAACAAACATTAAAACATTAAAACGTCTTTTCCTGAAATAATGGTTTGTAAAAGTAAAACTTAAACAATGAGTCTCTAGTCATATACCAAAAGTAGAGGAAAATGATCTTTAAAAAACAAAAATGGGGAAAAAAGTTACGTGGATTAGTGTCGATGCGCTAGAACAAAAACATTGAACAAAAAGGATACTTCAATCACGATCGTGACGTTCTGTGACACTCCCTAGCTCTCGTTCCCGGAGCCACTCGGCTTACCGTAATTTGTAACGAACGGGCTCTGGGAATGAGAATGGCAGAGGCCTCTTTCGGCGGGCGGTCGAGTCTCTATTTTTCCCTCCCGACGAATAGCAAGGAAAAGGATGCCTCTGCTATTCTAGCTGGGAATGTGTGGAAAAGATAAATGACTGATCCACAGGGAGGCTCGTCACTCGTTTACATACAATCACAACATATTATTTATTATCATTAACCGAATTGTTAGCAGTCACTCTCTTTTCATGTGAATCATTTGCCTCCTCAGAGACACATCACCAAAATAGACTACAGAAAAAAAGAGAGACTGCTTACAAGAGAATTTAAGAAAGGACATAAAAATTTGAAAATCTCATATTAGTCTAAAGTGGGGATAAAGCGCCAAAATCTTTGTTCTGGGCCCTTAACTGTGTACCAGGATTTGAGTACGTGCCGTGATTGGCCTGTTAAAAAAGCCATTGTGGACTTGCCAATCAGGTTGAAAGGAAATTCTAAAATTGCACCTTCAGTAATTTGTTGAGTCTGTTTGGGGCCCGAAACAAGGATATCAGCGCTGCTTCGCAGACACTACTAACTTGGGTAAAATTTATATTTACACTACTGACTGTTAGCTATGCAGGTTAATTTAATTAACCTGCATAGCTGGCAGTTTTGTTGGGGAAGGTGTAAGCATGCAAATGAATGGGGAAGCAGGAAGAAAATTTCTCATTGCCTTTTTCCCACTACCCTCCCAGGTTCTCATTTGCGCATGGGCTCCAAACAAAACTGCCAGGTATGTTTTTAACTAGCTATGTGCCTTCCCTACAATGACATCGCAATCCCATTAGCAGAGTTTATAAACATAACTTACAATGCCCAATACCAACATGCTTTAAAACATAACCCAATTTAAGCTTTTCTTGATTAACCCCATTGGTTCCTGAGAATATTCCAGCAAAACTGCAATTCCACAAAGTTAAGACAACTAATTAGAAAACAATATAGTGGTATGGAAAAGTACCAGTACTGCCAAAGAGGTTTTTTAAACTGAACGCATAAAATTTTGTCCACACACTCAGCAGTTAGAACTACCCACCAAAAACATAGCACCATATGAAAGCAAAGCCTGCGAATACAGCTGCTTCTCATCGTTTCCTGCCGTTGGAGATTTTTGCAAGAGAAACATCTGCATTTTAGTCTCAACAATTCCATACTGAAGCATTAAGTCATTGTTAATGTTGCCCTAAAATTTTGTGCTTTGTTGTGAATAAATAACAAGACAAATATAATTATTCGTAAGAAATAAGTGTTTCTTGGTAGATTCAGCATAATGATCTTTGCAGATTATAGAGCGTTTCTACATGAAGTCATGGCGGCCACATTGGCGTTCCAAACCAGTCCTGTGGGAGTTGATCTCTTTTCCTTTGTAAATGCTTTCTCTTGTTCCAATAAATTTGCATAGATGCTGGTCACGTCAGTGAAAACGCTCTATACTTGAAAGCAAACAATTAACACATGCTCCAATCAGAGCTCCTCCCCAGTTTCTGCAGAGATTAATGTCAACAGTAAAGAATTTTGAGCGGCAAACATCTCTCCTGTGAAACGTCCCAGCATCAGGGCTGACAAGTTGTGGCAACATTTGCAGGCTGGTGAAAGTACTGCTTAAGAAGTTTAATTTAAATGTTTAAGTATGCACCAGACTCTGGCAAAGCAAATTTACTGCTTTCAAATTATTAATCCAAAACAATTTGGAAAGAGCTTTTGGCCAGAATGCTTTCTCCCCGATGGTATTTACGACACCATAAAATGTAGCCCACTATTATTACACTTCTTGTGCCAATACTGTTACTGATCTAAAATTTAAGTTCCAGCTCCACAAAGGGTTCTCAAAACAGCATTCACGAGATCTTGGAGCTAGCTAGGCCTCTTTTGCTTAGCTACCTACCATTACTAGGATAAAAACTACAGCGTTGTACAAAATTTTAGCACTACTATTATTTCTAAAAATTAGTTGTTAACCAACTTATAACTATATACCATACGATGTGACCATGGATAAGCTGTTGAAACATTATATGTACATACTACTTCAAACTTTATACTTCATCGTCAATTCTCCAGGTTTTCTATGAGCACTTCTGTGTCATTGTCATTTATGTAAGGAGGTGGAGGTTCATCCCGTTTAACAGGATCTTCTTCTGAATAGACTGGGGGCACTTGAAAGGTAGCTGGTGCATCATCTAGTCCAAACGGATATTCAGTAAACACATACGCAGGTTGTGGAACTGCAGGTTGTTCCTCAAACTCGCGCCCTTGAGGAATCTTAAAAGTAATTGACAGAAAAAAAGAATTTACCTTAT